GCACACAAGCCTGGTGTGAGTTTAAGCCACCAGGTCCAGGACTCAAACCGCAGTCAACTACATGGGAGTTCCACGACATAGCCATTACACTAACTGCTGGTCCCTGAATGTGTTCTTCAGTGAAGTTTAAAAGAAAAGAAATAAAATTGATCTTAAACGTATGCTGATCTTGTGTCCTGTTACTTTTCCTGAACTTGTTTATTAGTAGTAATAGTTTGTAGTGAATTTATGACTTTCTAAATACTAGGTTACGACACCTGCAAATAAGGGTAACTGTGTATATTCCTTCCCCATGTTAAAAAAAAAAAAGAAATCAATTCACAATTATTTGAAATGATTATTAAAAATACTCCTAGGGCCAGCCAGTGGTATGGCGATTAAGGCAACTGGATCCCACATGCCAACTGCAGTAGAGTCCCAGAACCAGCAGCTTGGAAAACACCGTGATGTGCACACCCATGTGTGTGTGTGTGTCTGTGTGTGCTTGTGTGTGTATGCGCCTAAAATCCCGAAAGGAGGAATAGAGAAGAGATTGCAGCATGATCATCTCCTATGGGGGATGCTTTCTCACTTTCCTTTCCGTTTTCCCTCTAGTAAGCACACACACCATGTAGCTATGCCTGCATATGTGCCTGGTATGTATCTCAAAAGAGAAGAAGAAAAACAAAAAACCTTTTCCCTTTTTAACTATAAGGCAGAATTTTTTCATACACTTCAGTCAAAATAATAGATTGAATGCAGAAGCAGTTATGAAAATTTAGCAGTTTTCTGTTGAGGCAGACAAGAAACAGACTTACAAAAAGGTAAAATGAGCTTTTTTTTTTTTTACTTCGTTGTTTTATTTTGGGACACGGTATTTTCATTAATTTTTTTCTATTGACATTTAATAACTAATTAAAATTATTGTAGCCTCGTCTCTGCAGTCTGGTGGTTGAGGCAGCCAGATCCCAATAGTTGACTGCAATTTGAGTCTCTGACCCAACAGCTTGAGAAACACATTGTGTGTATTTATGTACGCCCACAATCCTGAAAGGAAGAAATGGAGGAGAAAGGATTGTGGTGCGACCATTTCTCATGTGGCAAACGCATGCACCTTGTAGCAAATAAAAAAAATTACAATACATCGTCTTAGAAACATTTATTTATTTATTTATTTATTCATTTATTTTTAGGTTTTTGCCATAGGGTGCGGGTGCTCACCCAAGAGAGACAGAGAGAGAGAGAGGAAAAGAGAAAAACCCACCCCACCCCCCAAGGGGGATGGCCACACTACAATCCCTTCTCCATTCTCCTCCTGAGATTTTGGGTGCATACTCACATGTGCTTGGCATGATTTTCAAGCTGCCCAGTCCAGGACTTTCATCACCATCACCCACGTGGAAATCCAGTGCCTTAACCACACCACCTGCTGGTCCTCCAAAAACTTAAAAATGTTAATATGGTAAATTACAGTAGCTATAACCCACATAAAATCTCCTTAGCATCCTCGGTAATGTCTAAGTGTAGAAAGAGATCCTGAAACCGAAAGTTTGTAAATTGATGACCAACACTCAGGGAGACGGTGAGACAAGAGTGCTCGGTGCAGAAGAGGGGTCAGGGCAAGTTCCGAGTCCCCGAAACATGGTTTGCAGTCTGTCCCGCGGGCAGAGTCTGTGGTGAGAAAAGCCAAGTTTTGGGGATCTTGGAGCTTCACTCTTCCGTCTTCCAAACTGTGTCAGATACTTCTGCCTAGGAACTCATGACACAGCCCTGGGTCTCCCTCTCATTGCGTGTCTGGTTTCTAGAGAAGCCAATCAAAATCAGATTCTTCCCAAGGATGGGGTCATGGCGCCCCGAGCTCTTCTGCTGCTCTCGGGGGCCCTGGTTCTGACCGACTCCTGGACAGGTGAGTGCCGGGACTAGAGAGAAACGACTCTGTGGGTAGGACCTAGGGGGTCGCCCAGCCAGAGCTACCCTTTGATTCATCTCAAGTCCAGCTCTTTGCCCCACCCCTGCTTTTCGGGCTCATGAGCCCTCGCCCTGTCCGCCTCGCACCTGGGGTCCCGCCCAGGTAGTATGTCGGGCCGGGCCTCAGCTCCTCCTCCTCGCCCCCAGGCCCCCACTCCCTGCGGTATTTCAGCACCTCGGTGTCCCGGCCCGGCCGCGGGGAGCCCCACTTCATCGAGGTGGGCTACGTGGACCACACGCTGTTCGTGCGGTTCGACGGCGACGCGGCCAGTCCGCGCATGGAGCCGCGGGCCGCGTGGGCGAAGACGGAGGGGCCGGAGTACTGGGACCTGAGCACGCGCGTCGCCAGAGAAACCGCGCAGGCTCAGCGAGTGGGCCTGAACAAACTGCGCGGCTACTACAACCAGAGCGAGGCCGGTGAGTGACCCCGACTCCGCCTGCAGCCCCGGGCCG